GTGACTGTTACCAATAATAGGACATTTCCTGTTGGAGCAGATGAACCCCACGTGAAACAGAAGCCAACGAGATGGAGACAAGTACGGAAGAAGATACGTACCATAAAATTAAGAGACTTTGTTGAATTTTAATTTTCTGTTTGTAAATTCTGTACATTTAATTAAGTTATTGGTTAATTGTTTAACTTTATTAAGGGCTTCACTGTTTCCCTTCTCAAAACGGAGTAGAGTTTCTTCTTCGACAGTGGCTTTTTCAGGTGATACATCTTCAGCAGCATCATTTGTTCCATTGTTCGCTTCGTCCCAACTGAAATGTCCTGGACCGTGATAGCGCCAAAGCCTGTTAGCATGCACAACCTTTGGCTTACCCCGTCGACCACATTTTATTCAGAAAGTTACGTCTGACAGACGATCCACTATATCATATGGGCCTTCCCATGGAGAAGACAACTTAAGAGACTTCCCTTTGGTCTTCCTGGGATTATACAACCACACCTTATCTCCTGGTACAAAGCTGACTTCAGTAGATCTTTTATCATAACATAGCTTCATGGAATCAGCAGACATTTCCAAGTTTGATTGCACTTGATGGTGAATATCATCCATCCTTTCCAATAACACTTTCACGAACTCTGACACATTTTCAGGAAACTCTTCATAAGGTGGGCATCGTGTTATCAGATCCACTGGCAACCGAAGTTCCCGACAAAACTTCAGCGTTGCTGGAGTGTATCCAGTGGCTTCATGCTTTGATGTTCTATAAGCCATCAACAGAGGAGGGAGAATGACATCCGATTCATCTTAGCGGCTATTACAAGGACCAGCAACATCAACGGCTACTCTTTTCGTTGGTGTGCCAACTCGATATAACTTCATTGAAGCACGTCCCTTATGCTTGGGTCTCCTTTTAGCACAACATGTACTGCAGGTCCTGCATCATTCTTCCATATCTTGCCTCGTACATATCCAGTAAAATTTCTGTCGTAAATGACTCAATGTCTTCTTAACTCCGAGATGTTAAACTATCATGGGATTGACGCAGCACAACTTCCCATAACTTTCTCGGTATAACTGTTTGCCAGGTCATCACTTTCCCACCTACAGAAAAGAATAACATTTTCAAGCTTCAACTGGTCCCATTGTGCCCAATAGTTCTTTGTCACAGGGCTTGGACTAACCACCTTCTCCCAAGCAGGGCGCAAGACACTTGCTTATAGAAAATCAATTATTGGCTTAAAATATTGGTCTTTCTCCTGCTCTGCTTTAATATCTATACCTGGTTCCACTTCAACATCATCAACTCCTTCAATCAATTTGACTTCAGCTTGATGACACCTGGTTAGTTCAACCTCCCTTTTAACACTTGCCGGAATTTGGCCTTTGTTGTTCCCAAACGTCATTTTATCAAAATTAACTACACACTTCCTAGGTAGTAAGTAGTACAACCCTAATATACATTGGTCTTCAATGTCAGTCAAGTATACTTTGTGTCTGTTCTTCATGCCTATGAGCTAAATAATTACACAAAATGGTCCCCACAACCTTGCATAATGTCCTGTCACACCACATAGCTTCTGTATGGCTTCTGGTACTCCTTTGTGATCCAACACTTTGATACTCAGAAGGGTTTGCTAAAATCAGAATCTGACAAAATTGCACTTTTGGTCATCCAGCTTTCCTATCACGTAGACACTATGTGTGCTTGCCATTTTTACCGTTAGCTGTTGGGACTTTCACAATGGCAGTTGGTGGATGTCCCTCAGCACCAACCACTACTGGTTTCCCGAAGTTGACTTATTGGTAGTATTCTTCTTACACTGGCTCCTCATATGTCATTCCTCTCCATAATTCCAACAACCTCTCTGGGTAGGAGCCTTTTTTGCCGTGCCATCTTCCTTTTGTCGAAGTTGCCGGCATTGAGCTCTTTTGTGCCCATGTTTGTTACAGTACCAGCAAAGTCCATCAAACTTCTCTGAAAGCTGCCATTTTCTGGCATTGAATCCTGATGAC